GGAATGTCCTAATTTCACCATTGTATTTAAGAGACAGTTTGCTGGATATATGATTCTTGGTTGGCAGTTCTTTGCTTTCAAGGTTTTATGTATGTCATCCCATTGCCTCCTTGCCTGCATGGTTTCTACTGAGAAGTTAGAACTTAATCTTCTTGGTGTCCCTTTGTATGTGATACTTCATTTTTCATGAGCTACTCTTAGAATTCTTTCTCTGTCTTTGGTTTTGGAAAGTTTGATTATGATATGATTGGTGACTTTCTTTTGGTGTCTATCCTGTATGGGGTTTGTTGAACTTCTCGGATGGAAATCTTCTCATTTTTCATGGTATCAGGGAAGTTTTCTGCCAGCAATTCTTCCAAAACTCTCTCAATGCTTTTATTGTCTCCTCCTGTTCTGGAATTTCATTCACGAGTAGACTGTTCCTCTTGATAGTGTCCCACATAACTCTTAGGTTTTCTTCTTCTTTCTTTATTCCTTTTTCTGACTGTTAATCAAATAAATTACTATCAAGGGATTTAGCCTCTATTTTGCTGATCCTTTCTTCCTCCGATTCATTTCTGCTTCTATGTCCTCACATTCAGTTATCTATTTCTGATATGTTATGGTTAAGCTTCTGGATTTCTAGTTCCTGTTTTTGTATGGTTTCTAATTGTCTGTTTACTTTGTCTTTTTGTTCTTTTATTGTTTTCCTGAATTCTTCCAGAGTTTTGTCTGTGTTTTCCTTTATCTCTTTGAGGATCCTATATGTAAGTCTTTCGAACTCCTTATCAGGTAGTTCTATTGCCGTTTCTTCCTCATGAAAATTTTCTGTCCCTTTATTTTGGTCACTTGCTTGAGCCATCTTATCCTGTATCTTTATATGATTTGATATTATCTGCTGTCTCTGAGGCATTAAAGTGTTATTTTATTGATTGATTGATTGTATGTTTGTTGTCTAGTTTTTTTGTTTTGTGTGTGGTGACAAGTTTTGGGTGGTCAGGGTCCCTTCACAGCTTTTGTGGGACCATGGGGTCCTTCTGGGTTGGTGCTAGTACTTAGTGCATCGGTGAGAACATGACAGATCATCTTTGTAGCCATAGGTTAGCAATGCTACCTAAATGGATGGGGTAGGCCCTTTGTGCAGGCACGGATTGGTGTCTCAGTAGGTGGTGGGAGATCAAGGGGCCTCAGTGCATGTGGGGTCAGCCTGTGGGTACTGTCTGTGTGTAGGATGGGTGTTGCTGTAGCCAGATGGTCATTGGGAGTTGACAGAGGGAGTGCCTGCTTGTTGTTGGAGTCTGTTGGGATGCACCTGGCCATCGTTTGTAATGGGATATGCCTGCTGAGCTGTGCTGGGTGGTCGTTGGAAGAGTGCACAGAGGTGCATCTGCTAGTCACTGTGCTAGTTGTCAGACACATTGTTGGTTGCTGGGCAATGGCATTGGGTGCATTTCTGGTTACTTGGTGGGCTTGGGGGGGATCTGGCTGGCTACTGGGCAGAAGAAGCAATGGCATTCCTGCTAGTTGCCAGGTGGCAAGTGCATTCGCACTGGTTGCCAGGCTGCAGCTGCGTTTGCAGTGGTCACCAGGAAGCAGGCGAACTCCCACTGGTTGCTGGGTAGCAGGCTGTCTCTGGCTGGTTCCCGGATTGTAGGTGTGCTCCTGTCAGTTGCTGGGAAGCAGGTGTGCTCCTGTCAGTTGCTGGGAAGCAGATGTGCTCCTGCCAGTTGCCAGATTGCAGGCGGGCTTCCTCCAGTCGCTGGGGTGCAGTCATGCTCCTGCCAGTCACCGGGCAGCGGGCATGTTCCTGCCGATTGCTGGATTGCAGGTGTGCTCCCACCAGTCATTGGGAAGTGGGCAACTCCTGCTGGTCGCTGGGCAGCAGGTGCTCCCCTACCAGTTGCTGGATTGCATGTGTGCTCCCACTAGTCACTGGGCAGCAGGCACTCTCCTGGAGGTCACCAGATTGCAGGCATGCTCCCACTGGTCACCTAATTGTAGACGCACTCCCACCAGTCTCCAGAGAGCGGGTGTGGGCTCTCCCTGGCTGGTCTCAAGTATGGGAGGCTCTCCTGCCTGGCTGTCCCAGGCGACTGGGGTCTGGCCTGTTTAAATGTGGGGGGGGAGTGTGTGCATAAAAGCTGGCTGGGTAGTGGGCCTCTAATTGCTACTCTGCAGTTTTGCTATTAAGTGGGTGTTTCCCGGCCAAATGGTCAGGCTGTGCCACTGGTGAGTAGACCTTTCCCCAGTTCCCAGCTTCATCCCTTCTCCGTGGACACCAGGATCGCTGGAGCTCCTGCCCCATCCTCCTGCACTTCCCTTTTTAGCCCCAGCTTGTGTCCTGCTCACTTGTTTCATTCCAAGTTTGTTCACACAGTATGTCTTTTTCCTGTTGTGTGTTGTGTATAGTTGCCTTCCTGTGCTGCTCACCCAGGAACACTGCCTGCTTTGTCCCAAGATGACCATGCTGTGTCTGGCTGGGTGGCAAGGCATCGATGGTCTGTATGTCTCTACGTCCGCTGTTTTCTTTCTCTCTCTGTTTGCACTCGGAGCTCAGTCTAATTCTGTATCCTTCTATTTGATACACAGGGTTCCAAGGTTGTCATCTGTATCTGTTTCACTTGGTTTCTCAGGTCTTTGATGTAGCAGGATGTTCTGGTCTTCAGTCAAAGTCACCATCTTGGGCTTCTCCTGTATAATGTTCTGTAACCTAAATGGTCTCAGGGTTTGACAAGTTACTAGTTTAGCTTATAGAATCTCTTTACCAACAAGGAGGTCCTAAATTGGAAAAGTTTGCATGGGATTAGTTCGAATTAAAAATGGGAATGTGGAGTTTGGTGGGCTGGCAGGAGGTTTAAGAGTGGAGCGTTGTTTTTTGAATTTGTGCTTGAGAGTGAATGCTATATCATTATAAATTCTGCTAGGTGATTGTTATTTAACTTACTTATTTCTCACTTCCTCTAATACTAATTTATGGCATTTAAACTAGAGGATGATGATTTTCAGTTTATGTCAGGTATTGTAAGGGAAGGTGTAAAGACTTGAAGGTAATCATTGAGTATTAATAATGATATAAATAGCTCTCAAGAGAACATAAAATAGCAAATAGTATTTATTTTCGTTGTCCTACTGAGTCCTTTTGTTTTGAGTGACGATATATACATCACAGGAACAAACATCTTTCATTTTGTTGTTAGTTTTACTCATTTTTGTTTTGTTGCTTTCATTTTACCTGTCTGTGGTATACCAAAGGAGCCCTAGTGGCACAGTGGTTAAACGCTCAGCTGCTAACTGAAAGGTCGACGATTCAAACCCACTAGCTTTCTGTGGGAGAAAGATGTGACAGTCTGCTTTCCTAAAGTTTACAGCGTTGGAAACCCTATAGGGCAGTTTTGCTCTGTGGCTTGGGGTAGATATGAGTCTGAATCAACTTGATGACAACGGGTTTGGTTTTGGTTTTGGTGGTGCACTATAAGCACAGTGCTTGTTTGTACCTCTTTACTTTTTCCCTGTCACAGTTACTGTGCCTGCCTTATCTCGATTAGAAACAACAGAAGAGCTGAGAGTTAAATAAGTTAACATTCCTATTTCAACTTGCTTATTTGGTTTCAATTAGTGGCGTTTTAAACTTTTTTTGAAACTGCAACCCATAGTAAGAAAGGGAAATAGGATTTATAGAAAAAACCCAGTATATATGTGTTTATATATGTGGGGTATGTGTGTGTACACCCCCTCCACACACAGATATAAGTAACTGAAATAAGTGACAGGTTAAATAAAAACTCTTAGTTTTTCTGTGTGTGATGTCCCCTGATATTTTAATTTCCAATCTATATCTTTATAAAAAACTCTTCATAACTTACTAAATTGATGTCATAACCCATTAATGGTAATGACTTAGAGTTTGATAAATACTGACTTAATCACTAAACTAGCTCACATAGTACTTCTGCTTAGAAGTATCAAGGGTATTGAGTTTTCACACTAACAAGCATTAAGAAACACTAAGGTGGCTTCTTTTTTCTCACGTATGGCATTCTTTGTGATGTATGTATTGGAGAGGAAAACTTCAATAAAAACAAATAGGGAAGAAACATATAAGAACAGGTAAGGGATGAGGAAGACATCTTACAATTTATAAACATAAGAGGACTGGGGCCTTGTGTTTTACCAAAAAAGAACAAAATCCTAATCTGAGTCCATGTTTGTAGCATATAGGAACCAGGAGCCTTAATATTCTGGGAAATTCAGCTGATGAGTAGTCAGAGAAGTGGCAGTTAATCAAGCTATGTCTTAACTGATCCTACTAGATAGTCAAGGGATTCAGCTCTGAGGAGGTTATTACCTAAGATCAAAGTATTGAGGCAAGAATAGGCTCACCCAGAGGCACAAGAAGAAATAAATTTAAGGAAACTGAAAAACCAAGATTCATATATTTTGGACTAGTGCTTCTGTCCTTTCCCTCATTCCCTGTAAGAGGAGACATCTTGTTATCTTCTAATGCAGGCATACCTTGGAGATACTGCAGGTTCAGTTCCAGACCACCTACCAGGCTTGTCAAAGTAAATTGTTCATCTCTCATCTAGAAGTTCAGTAGATGGCCTAATTGGCTTTTTTTTTAATCAACCAGCATTTTTTTAATTGTTGTAAAATATCTGGATAACACATTATTTGTCAATTCATTTTTTAAATGTGCAATTCAGTGAGACCAATTACATCAGTCATGTTGTACAGCCATCACCAATATCCATTGCCAAATTTTCCATCACTGTAAACAGAAACTCAGTGCTTTCTAAGCAATGCTTCTCCCTTCCCCACTCTCCCACCCCTGGTTACCACTATTAAACTGTGATCTCTGTATATTTGCCTGTTCCAGGTATTTGATTAAATCAGCATTTTTAATTAAATTCTTACATAAATTTGTGTTCTGGGTTTCTTGTTTATCTTAACATTGAAAATAAAAAGGAAGATAGCTAGATTCATATTAAGAATGACTAAATTTTGAACTTTTTTTTTAACAGGTTATATCAATCAGTGAAAATTCTATATTCCTTTGGCATTTTTGTGACATATTCAATTCAGTTCTATGTTCCAGCAGAGATCATTATTCCTGTGGTCACATCCAAATTTCATGCTAAATGGAAGCAAATCTGTGAATTCGGGATAAGGTCCTTCTTGGTTACTATTACTTGTAAGTATCACTACATAGATATATGTAATAAACAGTATAAATACTAATTCTTTTATTGTTATATTTCTTACAATAAAACTAGTTAAACTATATTTTTAAGTATTTTAAAAGCAATTTTATTCACCTAGCCAGGATACATTTTGGTTGAAAAATCTTTTATTCTACTACTGTATAAGAGAAACATAAACCAGATCCTAACATCTGTGCACACCGGCAGCCATCTTACATGGGCACTACCTACCTGTTAAAGCACAGACCACACCACATCTGCTACCATGAGTTTATTCCCAGAAGCCAGGGGCTTTCCTTCAAGAGCTGTGCTCATGACACATAGATATGCAGTTTTTTCTTAGGTGCTCCTTTGAGCTGTATCTACTCAGCCATCTCTGAGGGTTATATTTTACAACGTTATGGTCTGGACTAAGAACAAAAACCATGCAGTATTCCCTTCTACTTCGTTTGGGAAGGAGCCCTGGTGACACAGTGGTTAAAGCTCTCGGCTGCTGACCAAAAGAATGGCAGTTTGAACCCACCAGCTGCTCTGTGGGAGAAAGATATGGCAGTCTGCTTCTGAAAAAATTTACAGCCATGAAAACCTTGTGGGGCCGTTCTGCTCTGTCCTTTATGGTCGCTGTAAGTCGGAATCAACTGGACGGCATTGGGTTTAATTTTTTTGGTTACTTCATTTGGACACATCACTGAATGCTGGACTTCATTTGCGTCCTTGGCGTATCCTTCCAAATTAAAGCAATAACCAGCTGATGCTCACAATAAGACTGTTTTTTAATTTTGCTCTCAAAAGCTCTTGAACAGATTTTTGGGCAGGCTCTTTACTGATGAGCGTGTGTGAACAGCTAACAGGACCTTGCAGTGTTCACAGAGCAGGATGTGCAGCACTCAGAGTGGAGGCTCAGTTGGATTTGCATTGCACTTATTGTCTTTTAGTGTTCCATAATTCTTTCCAAGTACTGAATCCAAGTTTTTCATATTGATTTTTAAAGTAGTAGGTTTATCAGCTTGGATTATGTTGGCTATATCCAAATCTCCATCTGGCATTTGAATCATCATTTCAGAATGTCTTCTTGGCGGGGCTCAAATGCTTGAAAAGATGAGTTGACTCTTGCTGTAGGTGCCTTGTTGGCGCTTACCTGGTATATAGGCATCTTTCAGGTGAAGGAAAAGAGTGGATAGAATTGGCCAAAGGCCACCATGCATGACAATAAATACCTTTCATTTTAAAAGCAAGCCTGTACTATGAGATGTTAAGTTGTGAATTGTAATGAAAACTGAGACTAGTGTTTGATTTCCATATATGAATTGAACCTGCAAAATATATTAAGTACTGTTTATTTGTATTGACCAGCTTGTTGATCCTTCTACTATTTCTTACTGGAAAAGTTCTTGACTTAGATAGTATTCTTTTCTGCTTTTAGTAGACTGTGACTACATATGTACTAGAAAACATAAATCTTTAGTACTCTATAGAATGAGAAGATACACTAAAATCCTTCATTGAACTGCCAGTGTGAATGAAAAGAAGTGCCTTTCTGTATCCTAATATTGTATGTTAGAGTCAGTAGTATGTGAAGAGCACCATTAATTATTTGTGCAATTAAAGTAAATGTGCTAGGTGGTTTTTCAGTTTTGTTGGTGATGCTGTAATATTAAGTGTTATTTTGCTCTGATATTTCTGCTTTCACCCATCAGATGAAAAGTGACTTAAAATAGGCTTTTATTTTATTTTTATCAGCGGGAACTTTATGCCTTAAGGATAAATCTTTTTCTTTAGAATATAGTTTTGGGAAATATTGGCTGAGCTTAATTAGTACTTAATAGATATATTCATAATGGGCTGACTGTGGATGACGTGGGGCGACCTATTTTCAGTAATCCTGTGATGAATATATGTGCAATGAATAAACTATCCTTTGATTTATTTTTTATGCATTTGAATTTTTTATGTTGGATTGGCTTAAAGTATATATACTTCTCTTCCTTGAGTTAATAAAATTACTAAAGAATATATTCCAAGCTTTTTTTTTTAACTAGGAAATATCTATTGGTTATATAACATTTAAAGGATGGATTTGTCTAATTGAAATTGTATTTTATGGTTTAAAAATGTTTGACAAATGAAATTTCAATCTATGAGTTCTGTAGTGTTCTTCCACAGAGTTTTCCAACAGCATTTCATTTGATTTAGTAGTGACACCTTGGACTATTGGAAAAACTAATAAGGTAAAATATATTTGAAGTAGAAAGGCTGTCCAGAGAGCAAGGTTCTAGGCATGTTTGTCTGGCCTCCCATTTATGCTGTCACCTGCTGTTAAGTAGGTGAAACGTGTCTCCATAAAATCGATATGTTCAATGAATTTTTAAAGGCCCTACTTGTGTTTGAGAGTTATGCTTTATTAGAAGAAAATTTTAAAGGGATGTAACAAGCACCTTTTTATAGATGAGATTGAGAATCCACCTTGTAAAGTATTTCTAGTTTATAGAGTTTCAGCTTCCTCAAAGTCAGTTATTTTATTTATGAAGTATTAGCTCACTTCAGTCCTGTAGGTGTGAGGCTAGGTTTATAATTTCAAAATAATTTTTAGGGTTTTAGCTTTCATAATAATTTGAATAGAAGAATAATTTTCCAGCAGAATATAATTTAGCAAAATGGATCCCACAAGATTTAGAAAACCCAAACTGTTTTTCCCTTGAAGAATAAAATAATTATAAAAGAACTGTTGAGAATAAAAAGAGGACAACTTGTTTGTGAATTGAAGATATTAATGCCAAACTCTGACCAAAAAGGGAAGAAACCAGTGACCAGTCTCAATAATGATGTAAAAATTCTAACTGTAGTGTTAGCAGACAGAATCCAGCAGCATGATAAAAGAATAATACATTGTTTAAAAGTAACGTTTTTTTCCGGAATAGTAAAGAAGGTTCACTATTAAGTAATCTATGAAAATAATTATATAAATAGATCTCAAGAACAAAAGCCTCATGATAATCTTCAGAAATGCTGAAAAGACATTTGACAAAATTCAAAATCCATTCTTGATTTTTAAAAAATTTTAAAAAAATTCAATAGAATAGGAACATATGGATAATTTCTTGATCTGATGTGAGTATAGGTGTGCATGCACACTTCAGCCCAAAAGACAACATCAGTTGTAGTGGGAAGAATGGGATGTATTCTTAATGAAGTCAGGAACAGGACAAGTATGTCCACTAGCACTACCACTGGGCCATCCCCGTTGTCATTTGTGGACTGGACCGTTGTGATCCGTAAGATTTTCAATGGCTAATTTTTCAGAAGTAGAACTCCAGGTCTTTCTTCCTAGGAGTTTCTAAATTACCACTGACTGTTGTTACTACATGTTTTGCGTGTTGTAGAATGGGCTGTATGGCAGAGTAATGCAAATACTTTGTAAATAAACTTTCCAAACTTCTTTGCCCAGCATTTCACTGCAAACAATTAAAAGTTGTTTGTATAGGAAGCTCTTTTGACAAGTCAGAGTTCAGGAAATGCCACTCATTTTTTTCAATTTTTTTTTCCAGAGCAAAATATGGCATATTTTTCCACAAGCTGCAGTTTAGCAGTGCAGACTTGAATTACTTTTAATGTATTGAAAATATTTATATTTATTATTCATTTAACTACCAAATACTTAAATGTGAAAAATATATATTTTTATTTCCCAGGTGCTGTAGCAATTCTGATTCCTCGTTTAGACATCGTAATTTCCTTCGTTGGAGCTGTGAGCAGCAGCACATTGGCCCTGATCCTACCACCTTTGGTTGAAATTCTTACATTTTCAAAGGAACATTACAGTATCTGGATGATCCTAAAAAATATTTCTATAGCATTCACTGGAATTGTTGGTTTCCTATTAGGTACATATGTAACTGTTGAAGAAATTATCTATCCTGCTCCCAGCGTCATGGCTGACACTCCACAAAGTCTCTCTTTAAATTTGAATACAACATGTTTGACATCTGGTTTGAAATAGTGAGAGCAGAATTATGGGTTTTCTACTTTTGTCTCACTTCTGAAAATGACTAAAATAAGAACTAGGAGAATACATTGCAGTATACTTAAAAATAGAACCAAACTCTGTTTTCTTTTGGCACAATGTTAATATTTGACAGTAAATTGTAATTCTTTGCCCGTAGTGTTGAACTATGACAAATCCTTGGTTTTAAGTATTAGCAATAATTGCAAGATATTTAATTTTGAAAACTGAAAAAACTATAAGAAGTAAAATGTAAAAAAATAAAGAATAGAAAGACTTCTATTTTTATTCTCCTCAACCAGAAATACTTCAGTCAGGATTTCTCTCTCTAACCCCAGTGCTACTCTTCTGCCACCCAGTTGAGGAGACAACAGGGTTTTAGCAATAAGAGAATTAAATGACATAGATCACAAAAATCTTTCTCCAGACCATCCCAGTGAACGTCAAAGTAAACTTCGTGTGTAATTTAAAAATATCTTGGTTCTGTTTTTATTAGCCAAATACTTATGATTAGTCGCTGGAAGTATAGAAAATTCCCATTAACCAGAACATACGCATCAGAAAATTCCAAAAACCAGAATCATTTTTACACTATTCTATACTGGTAATTGGAGCCATGGTGGTGCAGTGGTTAAGAGCTGTGGGGAGCTACAGCTGCTAACCAAAAGGTCGGCAGTTTGAATCCACCAGCTGCTCCTTGGTAAACCCTCTGGGGCAGTTATACTCTGTCCTGTAGGGCCACTATGAGTTGGAATTGACTCGACGGCAACATATTTGGTTTTTTGGTATAATGGTAATTAATCTTCATAATAATAATCAAGAGGCACCATGCAAGATTCTGACTTAATGCTTTAGTCAGCTTTGAAAAGGACTTTATAGTTATCCAATACAACTTCCTTATTTTTTACCTGAGGATATCAAGGCCAAGAAAGGTTAAACCACTCAAGGCTACACAGCTTTGAGATCAAGAGAACCTAATTTCTTGACTCCCAGGCCAGGGTTTTTTATTTTTCACATCACTTCTCAGAAAAAGAATAAATTATGTTCAGTTTAATTTTAATGCTGAGTCTATTCAGTTACATTTTAATACTTTGAAAGTAGGAACTCTCACAAACCTGCACTTTGACCAGATAAACCTCAACAAGGGAAAGAAGCAATGTTCTTTTTAAATAGCTTAGAGACCGTTTGCTGGTGGAACTGATGGACAGTAGAATGTACATAGCTACACTGTGGCTTGGAATCTCCTTATCGTTTCTTCTCTGTCCTGGATTTTGTGGGCACGATCTTTCTTAATGGCTAGAAAATAGGTAACTTGACAAAATATAGGTTTTATGGTTCTGAAGTCTGACGACTCTTTCCAGCCCTGTGACTTTCACTATCATAGCCTTTTATTGAACTGGTGGGCAAAATAAAAGAACCATAAAGGGACTCATGCTTAGGAAAAATCGAGACAATAGTAACGGTCTACTAAATATCAAGCACTCCAGTCTTCCTCCAGAGAAATACATTCTGTTACTCCATATTCTTCAAACCCAGTTACAGAAAGAAAAGAATCTCAGTTAATGTAGAACATGAAAATTGTTAAATTTAAAATATTAAGAAGAGATTTCTCCTTTTTTTTATTCTTAATTTAAAACATTTTGAATTTTTTAACTAGGCTGATGGTACTCTGTAATACTGTACCGCAAGGTATCATCAAGATCACGGTAGTATATATATATTATATGTTTTGTAAATGGTGACATAGCTCAAGTATTTTTTGCTTACATCATTAAGTGGTCATAGAATACAGACCTAAAGATAGATAAGAAACTTTATTTTGGTACATTTTTTAAAACATTTGCATTAGATATCACAAATAATAGTTTGTGATACTTTTATGTTAAATATGTTACACTGAGCTTTTAGTCATAGTAAGAGCGTGTGGGAGAAGTTACAGAAAAAATAACCTTTATTTAAATTAATGCTGTATGATCTTGAATTTAAGAATAAATTAGGTGTTTTTTAAATTTTTATAACATAAAATAACTTGAAAACCACTATTTAATAGCTAGTAGTATTAGATTTTTGTCATCTGTCTGCAGATAATATTTAGTTCATATGTGCTATTTTATTTTTATACTTTAACCTGAAGTTTATTTTCATTATGGAATTCATCAAATGTGATGAAATTTTGAATAGTTGATCATAGCAATAAATTATTTTTTAATTCAACATGAACAAATGTTGAGCATATTAAGGCTTCCTTATGCAATGAATGTCTGCAGAATCAACATCCAGTACTAAATTCACTAAATTATCCAAGTATAGGAGAAAAGTTGAAATGCTGAAAGGTAAAGGAACTAAAAGGCAGAAAATAGTTTTAATTCTTAGCAAGAAACACTATTTAAATGTAAAATATAAGTACACTCCTATTTAAAAATTCTTGTAATATATTTTATTTCTAAAAATCAGTGAGTAATGTTTTTTCTCCAAAAATGTAGTTTTAATGAGTCATAATTTTTTAAAAACTTTTAAAGGAGATGTTTTCATTAAACTGCTTTTATTTTGGGGCCTGGAAAAATGAAATGATTGCACCTGCCAAGTTTGCATCTGATTTCTTTGGTCTGTCACATTATGGCTAAAATGACTTCAGCATTACATCTGCTACCACACTAAAGAACCCTCTTCTCTGAAAGTTAATCAGTTGTCTGAGAGCCTTTTCTACTACTGCCGGGAAAGAAAAGAAAGCTTTATTTACCTCTGATTAGCTCTGTTAAGTCAGTTTCCAAAAGGGTTTCACCAGTATAGAGCTGATTTGTTAAAAACACTGTTTCTCAAACATTTTTCATCAGGGGATCTTTTTTTCCCCACATTGCCAGATTTCTCCATGACTGATGAAATGAGAACTAGGGTTTTTTCCTGGCTAAAGACCAGTTTGGATTGTGTCGCCAAATAAAAACAAGTACTATATTAACAAATGCCACATTATGTTTCAATTCTGTCGTCACTGGATTCTCCTTTATTAAAGCCATTTATGCCTCTCAACTAGACAATGGACTTAGATTTGCACAAGTATTTTGTGACAATGTGCGTGTTGTAAATTTCCTGACAGGTCCTAATTCCACTCAGCATTTTTGTAATAATGTTGCATAAAAGCTCTCTAACTGCAAAACACTATAAAAATATTTATTAACGTTCTACATTAGAACCATTTCTAGCTGTGGCAAAGCACATGTCTTACTCTAGCTTACCAGTGATTGTTCCCCATCACAGATATCAGTACAGCGTCTGAGTAGTGCATTTGTTTACTGACAGTATATACCCAAATTAGAACTTGACCTTAGCTCTCCTTTCTTCACTTAAAGGGGAGAAGACACAGGATAGAGCTGATGGAAATAATAAATAAAATTACTTCAATTTAAATAATACCAGTGGCTTGATAAATGTTATCTGTCAAGGAATAACATAATGGGGTAAAAATATAGACCACTGATAATGATGAGTTTGAAAAAATGAGTCTATTTTCATCTTTTTAGCTTGACTAGCTTCTTAAGAAAAAAATTTTAAAAACTTTGATCTATAAGATAGGACAAGATACTTCCTAACATTAAGTGGCTGGCTGTGATAGTTAACACTTTAACAATGTTATGGTTGATCTTGTTTACACCATTAGAACTCACTAGGCTAAAAAGCTTTCTGAAAGTGTTGGTTTTGACCTAGGAGATAAGAAAACATGCTTAAGAAATGGCGAGAAATACTATTTATTGCCATATGATAAATGACAAGCTCTCTGAGTCTTAAATTTTCACATTAAAATTATACAGTTGCCCCCCTCCTCCCCCACACACACTGTAGTCTTTGTAAACTACATACTAATTTACTATTTGAATTGGGTTTAGGAAGATGTGCTGAAAAGATCACTTTTGAAAAGATCACTTTGGTAATTATTCCATTAGAGTTTTCTTAATAACAAATAGAAAAATACGTGTTTATAGCTTGAATAAATTAAGCTGTGAGTTTTTGTTTTTCAAAGTGATTTTGTTAGTTTGAATGGAAACTAAGTATCATTGCACTTGAGTTCTTTTTAGTTTCTCTTTTATAACAAAAAAATTACTGTAACTTCTGCGTTTTCAATAAAAAATAATTATTTAATAATTATTTAAATGCCTTTTGAAATAAATTTGTCCTTTATAAGGTTAATGACATTGACAAATGTCATCAGCCAAAATGGCACTAGTGTAATATTCTCATAATAACTAACATTTTAATCAGTCTTTATACTAATTCTTTGTCAAGTTACCTTCATCCTTTGAAGTTGATATTATGCACCTCAGAGATTTAAAAGCAGAAATTGATTTTAAATAAAAATGACACATTCAAAATTGTGACCTAAACTTCTTACAGAATGAATGCAGTCTGCAGATGCTTCATCCATGATTTAATTTACCACTTCTTAAGGTCAGCAATATGTATCAATCATACAGTACATTTTGCTCGAATTGTAAAATTGTAATACTTCTGAAAGCATTATGCCAACCGCATAGCAAAGACCATGAAGATATTCATACCTTTCTATCAGTCTCCTGCTCTTGTGAACTTAACAGAAGGACATACCATTGTTCATCAGATCATGTCACTCTCCTTTCATAGAGAAAGCTGCTCTGCCTGAAGGTGTAGCTGTAATATGTTATAATAGCAAAAAATTGGAAGCATCCTAAATGTTTAACAAGAAGCTAAGCATAAATTATGTCAACCTAGAATACAATGAAGATTATACTAATTATACAAGTAAAGACTATGATTTAGGAAAGAAAAATATGTAAAATTTTTAAAATTGCAGCTCTGTAGAAATACGTTTTGGATCCAGATAGGGGGATATGCAGAAAATGAAACTGTAGTGTTAGGATAAAGAACTGGGTTTTACTGTTTTTAAATATACCTAAGGAGGACTGTGAGAGGGATAAAGGGAAATAGGACGTTAAGAGGAGTCAGTCCCTGGGTGCTGCAAACAGTTAATGTACTCAGGTGCTAACTGAAAGGTTAGGGGTTCGAGTCCACCCAGAGGCACCCCTGAAGAAAGGCCTGGCAATCTACTTCTGAAAAATCAGCCACTGAACACCTTATGGAGCAGTTCTACTCTGACACACATGGGGTCGCCAGCAACTTTTTTTTTTAGGGCCTTGAGAAGGGAACAAGAAATTTATAAAGCGTTGTTAGTAGTGGTAAATGCTCCTAGTAAGCAACCGAGGGAACACAAATACCAAAAAAAAAAAAAAAAAGGTGGGTTGGAGGATAGGACTAGGAATATAGAGATCTAAATACAACAAGAAGCCTTATGTGATAATTGCTGGAGAAAAAAAATATGGCCACTTCATAGTTGCAAATTTTTTCTTCTTGGGTAAAAGGTTTATAGCAGTTTTTCTTAATATCCTTTGGGTTGCAAATCTGTTTGAGAACCTGGTAAAAACTATGAACCCTGTCTCCTGAAAAACACAGATACGCACATGCTTACAACATTTTGCATGTAGATTGATGGAGTTCACATTTCGGGGGGTCCATGGACCACTGAGAAAAGGTTTCTTGGGAAAGGTTGTACATCAGTTTTTGAAAAAGTGATTTGTTCCAAGTTTCCCTGCAAAAGGTGGACTTGTTTGAAGGCTTGAAATAGAGAAGGAATTGGGTCTTTCAGTTTTCATAGTTCTGGTGCCGTGAAGCAGATGGTAGGATGTCTTCTCAAGCTAAAGCTAGTACGTTAAGCATGCTGAGGAACTGAGGAGCAATTTTGTTATCCTCCATCCTGGATCTTGGTCTGGGCTAAAGGAAGGGAACTGGACACTGACCACCCAACCTGCAGTGAGCAGGGAGGAAAGGTGATCTGGGTGTGAATCAAGGTTGAGCAGGTCAGGAGTAGAACAGGAAAGTAGGCCAAAAACAAAGCATATTGTGTCTTATCTTGCTTTTAACCCCAGCACCTAATAGTACTCCACAAGGGCGCAGAGTGGGCACTTGGAAATCTGGTCATGTCACTCTCTTGATCTTCTATCCTTTTCTAATCTACTATATCAATACCATGCTCCCTAATGTGGTACACTAGCAAGCTGGACCTCTCCAGCCTCATCTCTTGCCACTCCCTGCCTCACCCTACAAGACACAACAATACCAAACTTCTTATTATACCACAAATACACCATACAATCTGTTTCTTATCTCGATGACTCAGTCTCCTCCACTTGCTGGGATGATTTCCTTCTACTCTCTCCCCAGTTTTTTCTTGGCCAATTCTTAGTTAAGATTCAGTTTAGGTGTCTTTTCTACCAGGAAGCCTTCCCATTCATCCTCATCCCTACACAGACTGAGTTGTATATTTCTTCCTTCATATTAACAAATGACTTTATGCTCATTATCACACTCCACATTGTATAATAATTAAGTTTGTTTGTCTCCCCTCTAAACTGGAATTTCCTGAAAGCCTTGACTGTGTTTTATTCATCGTGCTTTTTTTGCCACAGTACTTATCTCAGAGATGGATTCCTTAAACATGTCAGACATGCTACTGATTTGGGGCTTTTGCACTTGCTGCTCCCTCTGTCTGGCAACTCCAGTTGCTGTTAAGTCATCTCCAACTCCTGGCGACCCCATGTGTGTCAGAGTAGAACTGTGCTCCATAAGGTTTTCAGTGGCTGGTTTTTCTGGAAGTAGGTCGTCATGCCATTTATCTGAGGCACCTCTGGGTGAACTCAAATTTCCAACCTTTAGGTGAGAAGCCAAGCCTGTTAATTGCACCACCCAACGACTTGATAGATAGATAGATACATATAGATAGATAGGTAGATATGCACAGATAATAGACATGATATAGAATGCAAGTGGTCCATTTCTAAGAAAACAAAACTATAATATCTATTATTGATACACGAGAATATTTTGATGAACTTCTGGTGCCTGAGTGTACCCTGCTTGTAAAAGAGTCACACATACAGTAGTTTTTGGAATCCTCTCCCAAAAGAGGGACTCCTCTGGCTGCCCTGCAAACCTACCTGTTATCTAAATGCATTACAGTGTATGTTATAAATGGACTCTAGTACAAGTCGAGAATGAGAACTTCTAAATGTTGGGACAATGACTCTGCCAAGATGATGATTTTATAGAAATAGCTAGAAAAGGAAAGTGAAAATAATAAATATCTGAAAATTGAAATTCATTTAACTGAAAACCCATTTGCTCCAGTACTCAATTCAGTGTCTTTTATAAAATTTTTTCCAGAAAGTATTATTTGCACATAAAGTAGAGTGTGGTAGGTGGTAAAAAACATTACCACACTAATACCTTCCAGTATAAAATGGATTCATTGTGCCACTGGACGGAGACAAGAGGCTTCAAGATTATACTCCTGTATATTCCTAAAGGGCACCTGACCCAAGCCATGGTATTTTTTTTTTTTTTAATATTTTATTGTACTTCAGGTGAAGGCTTACAGAACAGATAGTTTCTCATGTAACAGTAACACACATGCTGTTTTATGACATTGGTTAACAACC